ATTATTCATTTATTGCATTAAAGCCAACCTCAAATAGCTTTGAGCTGCATAAAATGCAATAACTGACAAATCCAACAGAGTAAAAGGCTGGTACTGCTATAAAAATCTATCAGCAAACCTTTTCAGCTTTTTTACGTTGAGACTCCTAAGACGGGACAGTTAAAGGGATAGTTCACCTGAAAATTATCATTCAGTCATCATTTTCTTTAATTCATTATATACTTGAATTCAATATATCTTGAATTCATTATCCTTCCAAACCTGTACGAGTCAGGAACACAAAAGACAATATTTTAAGAATGTCTCAATTTTGTTTGGACCTCATTGACTTTCACTGTATGGATAAAAACAGATAATGATTCAGATTTGGATTGACAGCATGACAATTTTTATTTTGGGTAAAGTATCCCAATGTATATATATATAGTGCCTTGCAAAAGTATTCATACCCTTTCATTTATTTCACGTTTTGTTATGTTGCAGCCTTATGTTAAACTGCTTTAAATTACTTTTTTTCCACATCAATCTACACTTCATACACCATAACGACAAAGCAAAACCAGAACTGTCACAACTTTGTAAATTTATCAAAAATAAAAAACTGAAATAAGTACATTGCATAAGTATTCAAACCCTTAACTCATTACTTAGCTGAAGCACCTTAAAAGCCTCAAGTGTTTTTGGGTATGATGCGACAAGCTTTGCTCATCATCATTTGGCAATTATCTGCCATTCTTCTCCTCATCTCTTCACCTCTCAAGCTCTGTCAGGTTGGATGGGGGCAGATGCACATTTTCAGGTTTCTCCAGAAATATTTGATTGGGTTCAATCCCAGGCTGTGGTTGGGCCACACAAGGACATTCACAGAGTTGTTTATAGGCCACTCTTGCTGTGTTTAGGTTCATTGTCCTGTTGGAAGGTAAACTTTCTGCCCAGTCTGAAGCTCTAAATGCTCTGGACTAGGTTTTCATTAAGGCTATCTCAATATTTTGGTGCATTAAGCTTTTCTTCTACTCTGACGAGTCCCTCAGTCCCTGCCGCTGAAAAACAGCCCCACAGCATGAGGCTGCTACCAGCACACTTTACTTTTTGGATGGTACTCTGCAGGTGATGAGCAGTGCCTGGTTTCCTTCAAGCATTATGCTTGGAACTGAGGTTCATCAAACCAGAGAATCTTGTTCCCCTTCAGGGGAAGTCCAAGTTCAACTCAAGTTTAAAATGCTCAAATCAGGTCCGAGGACTGGTTTGTCACAATAGATCTGAAAGACGCATACTTCCATATATCCATCCTTCCTCAACACAGGAAGTTCTTGAGGTTTGCTTTCAGGGGCTAAGCTTACCAATATCGGGTTCTTCCGTTTGGCCTTGCACTCTCACCCCACACTTTCACCAAGTATGTGGGCTCCTCTGCGACTCCAGGGCATCCGCATACTAAATTATATCGACGATTGGTTGATACAGAGCAGATAGCGGTTCGGCATCGAGATGTCGTCCTTGCTCACATGAAATGGTTGGGGTTAAGACTAAACGCAAAGAAAAGTGTGAGCCTGTGAGGGAGGCAGCACTGGGCCTGTGAAAGGAACCATGGTTTATGTCTAAGGCATGGTCCTGAGCCACCACTGCAAGGGTCTCATGGAGCTGCGGCCAACGTGATATCTTTTGGCCTGCTGTACATGAGACCCTTGCAGTGGTGGCTCAGGACCATGCCTTAGACATAAACCATGGTTCCTTTCACAGGCCCAGTGCTGCCTCCCTCACAGGCTGGAGAGCGGTCATGAGTGGCCACTCCGTCTGGATCAGTGGGGAGGTCACCATCTTACATGGCACATAAATTGCCTGGAGATGTTGGCTGAGAGCAGTTTACATCCCTGGGCATCTCAATATGGGAGCAGACTTCCTGTCGAGACAGGGGCTGAGGCCCGGGGAATGAAGACTCCACCCCGATGTGGTGGAGCAGATATGGAACAAATGGACTTGTTTCCGTCTCAAGAGACCTCACATTGTCCCCTCTGGTTCTCCCTTACTCACCCAGCTCCTCTTTGACTGGACGTTATGGTACAGACGTGGCCGAGGCCGCGAAGTCTGTATGTTTTTCCCCCGATTGTTCTGCTCCCGGGAGTTCTGGAGAGAGTGCGCCAAGACAGAATTAGTCTACTGCTAGTAGCTCTGTTCTGGTCGGGCCAAGCATGGTTCTCAGACCTAGTGGCCCTTCTAGATGGCCCTCCATGGGAGATTCCCATTACGAGGGACTTTCTATCTCATATATCACCCCCACCCGGAGTCGTGGAAATTGAGGGTGTTGTCCCTGAGGAGGCATATCTCATAGCTTTCGGTCTCTTAACTGAGATTGTTGAGACCATAATCCACTCCAGAGCTCCTTACACGAGGAAACTGTACTCCTTGAAGTGGATTGTGTTCACTTTATGGTTCGGAAATCGTCAGCTGCTCCCAGTTAACTGCCCGGTTGGTAACCCAACTAACCCTAGTTCCCCGAGGGAACAAGACGCTGCGTCTCGTTGCCATACTTCCTGCATCCCTGTGAGCGACTTGCTTCAACTTATCAGAAGCTAACTCTGCTTGTTTCAGATGCTCTCTGGTCTCTACATCACCCCGCCCGTGACGTTTCTCCATTCCATTGGACTGATTTCACATGTGATTCAGAGCGTGGTCACGCAGACGCATTCCCAAAGCGTTTCAACACAGCGTCTCGTTCCCTCGGGGAACTAGGGTTACATATGTAACCTAGTGACGTTTTTCACAGTCTAAGGGTCCTTTAGGTGCTTTTTTGCAAATTCCAAGTGGGTTTTTGTGTGTCTTCACTGAGGAGACGATTGAGTCTGGCCACACCGTCATAAAGCCCAGATCGGTGGAGTGTTGCAGTGATGTTTGTCCTTCTGTAGGTTTCTCCCATCTGCATATATGATCATGGAGCTCGACTAGAGTGACCATCAGCTTCTTGGTCACCAGTCTAGACAAGGCCCTTCTCCATCAGTTGCTCAGTTTGGCCAGGAGGCCAGCTCTAGGAAGTGTTCTAGTTGTTTCAAATGTCTTACATTATGGATAATGAAGGCTACATGATTCTGTGAACCTTCAATGAAGCACATTTTTTTCTGAACTCTTCCCCAGATGTGTGGCTTGACGCAAACCTGTTTCTGAGCTCTACAGGCATTTCATTTGACCTCAGGGCTTGGTTTTTGCTCTGATATGCATCAGCCGTTAGACCTTTTATTAAGATGTGTGTGCCATTCCAAATCATACCCATTCAATTGAATTTGCCACAGGTTAACTTCACTTGAAGTGTAGTAACATCTACAAGCAATATGAATGCTCCTGAGCTATATTTCAACTGTCCCAGATAAGGGTATGATTACTTATGCAATGGAATCATTTAAGTTTTTTTTTTTTAATAAATTTGCAAAGATGTTAAAAAACATATTTTTTGCTTTGCCTTTATGGTGTATGGAGTGTAGAATGATGTGGAGGAAAAAGTAATTTAAAGCAATTTAACATACGGCAGCAACATAACAAAACATGAAAAAAATTAAGAGGTATTAATACTTTCGCAAGGCATTGTATATATGTATTCTGACAAAATAGATCACAATTATTTAATTATAATATAGTCAGTGTTTTACCAGTGACCAATTCTTTTTGAAGGACTCTTAAAAATAGCACTAACACTCAGGACAGTCACTAGTTAAGCATTTGTGATTGTGCATATTCTTTTGCTGCCATCAGCCAATCAGCATTGTCATTAAGTTTTTTTTTTTTTCAGTTCTAGTGCGATTAGTCACATGACATTTTACAACTCAAGTGATTGCTCATGCCTCCTCAGTTCTGGACGCAATTGTTTCTCCACATTTCAAATCATGCCCTCCAGCTAATAAGCAGCCATTGAAATGAACGGGAATGCTAACGGATAGCTTTCTCCAGGTATTACAGACCTGCTTGATTTGACAACAGTCATTATGCTTTGCACAGAAATTGCACAGAAACTTCACCTCTAAGTATTCTTTTAAAATGCATTATTCTCTTCTCTTTAAGCAAAAGCTGTCATCTTGAAAACCAAAACGGAAACTAAAAATGACAGCCAAAAAAAAACAAAAAGACCCCTAATAGACTAACCCTACGAAAGTAGAAGGTACTGCTCGCCTGCTATCTTTCTTCTCGACCTGAAAGCCTAGTGAAACAGACTGCATGGAGCAGAGAGACTAGTGTAAATCTGTCTCCTACATGAAAGCGCCTTTGATAGGCCTCTACTCTCATCTCGTCTCCACAAGCATGCCACTAATGTTCTGCCTCCCAGCCAAAATATCCCCAGCAACACCTGGCACCATGAAGAAGAAAAAAACTGATTAAATCATTAGAGAATCACATGGGAGGATGGAAAAGAGAGAGTGGGAGATGAAGGAGGGAGAGCTGAGACGCAACGGGGGGGAGGGATGAACAACTTCATAAGCTTGGAACTGCGTTCCTGGTGCCGTGCCCGTTGTTTGTCCACACACATCAAAGGCTGCGGTAATCGCTGCTGTTTGCGGGCCCACATCTCCAGTTCACCTTGACTGGCCTGTTATACGCTACAGGCCAGAGCAGTGCTCAAAGACGGCTGGTTTCTCACTGAGCAGGCCAAGAAGTGTCTGAACCTGGGCGCTGGAATGCCAGTACGCCTAATGAACGAACATTAGGAGATGAGCGTCCCATAGCACAGCGGCTGGAGCAGCTCCAGGTCTTCAACAGCTGTGCTGCTCTTGTTTACAAGCCGCCGCCAGCTGCTGCTGGAGCGGCTTCGCAACAGGCCTCCGCTCCCAACCACATCCTCGAGCTCGCTTGAGCAGCCGAGCCCAACCCGAGTGCATGTGCCCTGGTCTAAACGTCCATCTGTGTCCCTCTGTGCCCTCCGAATAAGTGTAAAGCCATTCAGAAATGCTGTTGAGAAGAATGTGGAAATGTGGTGTTTGAATTCGCAAACCTAACTCTGCAACTATGTTTCTCTGTTACAGGAAACTTCAAAGGATTGTGTAAGCAGATAGATCACTTTCCAGAAGACACAGATTATGAAGCAGATGCCTCAGAGTACTTCTTACGTGAGTGCATCCTTAGTGTTTCTGTGACAGTATTCATGTTCTCACCATCTTGTTCTTTCTTGTTCAATCTGTGAGGCATTTCAAGTAGTACCAGATATGCTATTTTTGCCCAAGTGCTGTTACTGCTGAAACAAAAGGGGAAAAAATGTAACCTACATGTACAATCTTTGAAAAACAGAAAAAGTCCAAAAGTTTGGAGGTTATTACCAGGCCCGCAGAACTCTGCAGATTTCCCATTATTCACAAAGTTATATGTATTCTTTGCTAATAATTAAATAAAATATTAAAATTGTTTTATTATTGAAATAAAAATATTAAATATGCTGTATAGTTTCACCTTTCAGCAACAAATAAGAATGTAGTACTATAACCACTGTTTAAAAAATAGTTATTCTTTTTTTATTTTCTATTACAATTGTATTAATTAAAATTAGGGCATGTCAATTGATTAACATTTTTCAATTGCACACATATCATGAAATTAAGCACCATTTATTTTGTGTAACTTGTTCATTTTGTCATAAAATATTGTGGATTATTTTAGCAGCCAACAAGATTGTACTCTAACTGCTGTTTGTATCTTTGATTTTTTAACTAAAAGTGTAATCTATTATTAAAATGTTATTAATAATGAAAAGTATGAAATATTGTGGATTATTTTAGCTTTCATTTGCAAATAGGAATGTAATACTCTAACCACTGTTTAAATGAATAATAATAATACTTTTTTAATTAAATATTTAATCAAATATTAAAATTGTAATAATAATTAAAAATACTAAATATTATATTGGCTATACACTTACTTATATCTGATATTTTTAGATTTCAACTACCAATAAAAATTTAGTACTATAACTGCTGTTTTTAAACAGTTATTCTTTATTTTACAGTGAAAAGTGTAATATAAATATTTTTATAATAAATGAAAAACATGAAAGAAGAAGCTACTAGTTAAAATGAGATCTTATATAACACATTTTACAATGTTTACTGTAAATTGTTTTCAGAAAATGCAACAGATTTTCTCAACAAAAAAAAAAATCAGGAGAAAATGCAAAAAAGAATTAAAAAAAATGAATGCAATAGAGCTGTATTTCAAGTAATTTCCTAGTCTTTATTTTGTTCCACCTATCTTTGGTTTTCTCATGCTGTTCAGCAGCGTAAGGATGGTCTGTTGTCTCTGCGGGAGAGTGTGAATGTTTCCTCACTCTGTTTAGACGCTCAGCAGCGGCAGACTCTCTAGCTCGTACAGTACGGCTTAACTAGGCCCGGTTACAGTACACTGGCTCCCTCGTAAACACAGAGCATTGATTTCCACTCTTTTTTCGTCTGCGCAAGCAGACCCGGGAAGTGAGTGTCAAACAAGCCACATGCATCAATCCTAAACTCACAAGCAGGACTATCAGTTACTGTCATCAAAACAAGGGCCTGAATTGACCAGAAACAACATGGTAAGAACCAAGAGTAATTAAAGATTCTGGAAGCGTTGTGCAGGAAAACAATTGCGGACTACTGGAGAGAGAAGGAAAATGAGTCTAAGGGTCCATTTATACAGGGTACATCCTGGTCCATCTGCACTGGTTTTGGATTGTTTGAAAACGTTAATGTCATCAATTAAATTACTGACGAACAATAATGAAGACAAAACAAAAAAAGTGCATCATGACGATAATTCCTCAATTTTTGAATAAAACATACTGTTCAGAAGTTTGCTTTAGTAAGATTTTTTAAATGTTTTAGTCTCTTACACTCACCATTTATTTGATCAAAAATACCATAAAAACAGCAATATTCTGAAATATTATTACAATTTAAAATAAATGTTTTCTATATATATAATTTCTGCATCATTACTCCAATCTTTAGTGTCACATGATCCTTCAGAAATCATTCTAAAATGCTGATTTGCTGCTCAAGAAACATTTCTTCTTATTATTATTATTAATGTTGAAAACATTTGTGCTACTCAGTATTTTTGTGAAAACCCTGATACATATTTTCAGGTTTATAAATATAAAGTTAAAAAGAACATTTATTTTGTAACAATTTAAAAGACTTTTGATGAATTTAATGTATCCTTGATGAATAAAAGTGTTAATTTCTTCAACAAAAAAAAAAATCATACTAATCACAAACTTTTGAATGGTAGTCTAAACAAAAAATAACAATATTAGCAATGGACTAACAAACTAGCAACTTCTGAAAAAGAAAAATCAATAAAGATAGGACTATTTTGAATAAGTTAAAATGCACATTAAAGGGGTCCTATTATGCTTTTTCACTTTTTCAACCGGGGCCGAGAGCCGTGGGAACGGAGCGAGGCCGGTGGAGTAAATGCTAATGCACGACACCTGCGCCACTCACCGGTCTCGAGTCCCACGGAGGAGCTCCGGAAGGTTAAAAGGAGGAGTGATGGCAGTGTTGGAGGGAGAGAGGACCAGGCCTGGATTTTATTTTGTGTTTTGGTTTTGTTTGTGCGCGACAGTCGTCCGCGAGGGGCCGTCGCGCTATTTTGTGTTTGTTTATTTTATTAAAGTTTTGTTGAAGTGTTCGCCGGTTCCCGCCTCCTTCTTCCCGACCTACGAACTGTTACAGACCCCTTTAAAGTAAACTTTATGCAGAATGTGTAAGTCACGTTGTAAATACACTCTGTAACAACAAACTAAAACACGTACAGTGAATAACTAAGCATGGCTGTTGTGACACCTTGCACCACGTTTTTGAAATGCTGTGTCAGTTAAAAGCTTGATACACCTGCACTTTGTACTATTTTCTTGTGCTCTGTCTCACTGAATGACCACTTGCTGATCCAAATCAGCATATAACACAACATTTTTAACTGTTATTTAAATCAGCTCAGACTGTAACATTTATCAATAATAATAATATATAAGAATGTTACGTTCAGCCAAAAGTCTTAGAATCACAGCTAAGGAATCAGGCTTATCCTTCACAGCGTTTGCCCATCCAGTCAGAACCGTTTAACCTACTTAACCAAGCAAGCACCCATTGGTAAGATGATGATATCAGATAAAAGACCATACAATTATCCCAGTACAGATCTTTCTTCACTATCGAAGCTTCATGCGTCACCCCAAACAGGTGGCTGACCTGCTGTAAATGACTCTTGACTGAGCCTGTGATTATAGCTCATGCAGTTAAACAGCGCAGATTACGCAGTTATGCGGCAGCATTGACCCCATTGCGGTTCATCCTTAATTGACACTGTCATAATGATGCATTCGCTTTCTCAGTCTGCACGTCTGAGTCGGATCTGTCCAAGCGTGACTCGCGCTTTGGGCTGCTAGGTGAATGCCGAGCCGGTCACATTGCGTGCAAACTCCACAAATAAAGCCTTGCCAGTGAGTCTTGGCACTTTGAGCACTTGTGCCATCCCCTATGCAGCAATAAAGATAGTTGTAAAAACAAGTTTAAAGAACGACCCCCAGAGAAAGGCTCCGACATTGGGACTAGTGGACCAGGAGTGGTCAAAACGACACGGGACAGAGAACTACCGCAGACCTCGCGCTCTCTAAGTGTGTGCGCGCACGTATATGAATGCATATGTGTGTTTGTCCTTTTCCTTAGCTGCAATTGAACGAATACGCTCCCAGTGGCTTGTGAATTAGGACACTCACTTCCATAAATATTTCAGCCTCTTTCTTATATAGGTCAGCTTTCTGTCTCTCTCACTTTTTCTCCTCTTCTTCCTACTTCTCTTCTCCTTGCACGTCTTATCCTCTCAGACATCTGTTCTGTAGTACTTTTGGTCACGAACTGTGGGTTAAAGTAGAGTGATGGGAGATCAACAGAGTGAGAAGATACAGCGGCGTAGGATAGGACGTCATTCATCAATAAATAAATTAATGTTTTCTCATTTTTAACAGTACATTATGAGTTAAAAATAGGTGTTGTAGCTAACCTTAATACCAAGTTGTTGCGTGCCTCGCGCTTTGGGCTGCTAGGTAAATGCCGAGCCGGTCACATTGCGTGCAAACTCCACAAATAAAGCCTTGCCAGTGAGTCTTGGCACTTTGAGCACTTGTGCCATCCCCTATGCAGCAATAAAGATAGTTGTAAAAACAAGTTTAAAGAACGACCCCCAGAGAAAGGCTCCGACATTGGGACTAGTGGACCAGGAGTGGTCAAAACGACACGGGACAGAGAACTACCGCAGACCTCGCGCTCTCTAAGTGTGTGCGCGCACGTATATGAATGCATATGTGTGTTTGTCCTTTTCCTTAGCTGCAATTGAACGAATACGCTCCCAGTGGCTTGTGAATTAGGACACTCACTTCCATAAATATTTCAGCCTCTTTCTTATATAGGTCAGCTTTCTGTCTCTCTCACTTTCTCTCCTCTTCTTCCTACTTCTCTTCTCCTTGCACGTCTTATCCTCTCAGACATCTGTTCTGTAGTACTTTTGGTCACGAACTGTGGGTTAAAGTAGAGTGATGGGAGATCAACAGAGTGAGAAGATACAGCGGCGTAGGATAGGATGTCATTCATCAATAAATAAATTAATGTTTTCTCATTTTTAACAGTACATTATGAGTTAAAAATAGGTGTTGTAGCTAACCTTAATACCAAGTTGTTCTGAATCCTTCAAGACCAGTGCAGTCACTGAAGGATAGCCTATATGCATTGCTGTGAGAACTGTCTAGCTGAACTTTAGCATTGATATTTACTTGTAAAAAGAGTGTGTTGTAATACAGAAAGTTTGTTAATAGAGGCCTGCAAAGTGGTTATCTACACTACTGTTCAAAAGTTTGGGGTAAGACTTTTCATTGTTTTTGAAAGAAGTCTCTAATTATTAAAAATATTTTAAAATATTACTGTATTATTACAATTTAAAATAACTGTTTTCTTCTTTTTCTTCTTCTTCTTCTTATTATTATAAAATGTTATTTATTCCTGTTATGTTAAAGATGAGTTTTCAGCATCATTACTCCAGTCTTCAGTGTCACGTGATCTTTCAGAAATTATTCTTATATATT